CAGATGAGAATCCGGCAGATCCCCTCACGAAGGGACTGACTCGGGTTAAGCATCTCCAGCATGCTCGGAGCATAGGGCTGAAGGATGATATTAGATTTAGTAGTTAGATAACCTCGAAATTTGTAAAGTGTAATTGACATTTGATGATGAATAAAAGTGTTTTATTTATGAGTAAAGTGTTGCTATCTCTTGTCGATCGTTTACTATATTTCTTTTGCATGTTTTGACTTCCAGAATAATTTTGTTTGGTATAACATATTATTCAAACCTCCACAGTCGGTCATATGTCGGAAGTAGGTATGAATCAAGACTGTCATGTTTGGTTGTAGAGGTCTTGGACAAGGCTACAACAATCATGAGTGCTCATAAGTTCTGAGCATTGGACTCAACCCACGCTCACTGGAATCACTTCATGGAATTCTATCTCGAGTGATCGTGAGACGGTAATATCATATAAGTCTTTAAACCTAGAGATATGATTTGTTACTTACAAGTTGGTTATGCATTGATTGTACGAAAAATGCATTGGTAACTCGATGTTATAAATCGCGCTCTTGTGTGTAATTCAATGAGTAGTAGAACAAACATATGAGTCGAAGTTTATCTGTTCCTTCTTGGATTAGAAGCTGATATCTGGGCCCCTCGATGATTTTGTTTTGACCTATGTACCGGGCCCGGTCAGAACTAAATTGATGTGTTCAATGAAGTTCTTTGTCAAACAAATCGGAAATCGGGAAACAAATTGTTGGACAATAAGTAAGACATTGTTCCATGTATTTGTCCGACTGATATCTAGAACAGAGGATTATATGATCACTTATCTTAAATGGCGTACCATCATCTTCTCAGTTTCGAGAAACCTTGTAAAGAGCTACGATTGCCGATCGGTTCCTGAAGTCATACTTGCAGTAATAGTTATTAGACTTATCCAAGTGGGAGACTGTTGGATAAGGTGTCTAAGTCCATAACTATTTCTGGTATGTACTTGACCCGACCCGGCATGGTCCATTTGGGTTGCATGGCATCATGCAATTGGATAGACTAAATGAGAGAAATAACACTTGGAGATTATTAATATATTATAAGTTCTAATATATTAATAATATTATTTGATTAGTTTGATCAAGAATTAATTTAGAATTAATTATGTGATCAAAAGATAACTAATTAAATATATGGGTTGATTATGTAAATCATCCATATCTTGTATAGTGGGCTAAAAGGCTCCATGGACTATCAAGTTGGGTTCCACCCATAGGATGCTCCATGGGAGTTACAAACCCATGGGTCATGGAAATGAAGAGTCATGACACATTAGGGTTTAACCCTAGATGTGTCAACACTATATAAGTAACATGTTCTCCACCTAAAATCGGCTACACTAAGAAACAAGAGGGCTTGGCCGATTTTGAGAAGTGTGTGTTCTCTCATAAGTTCTTCCAAGAGCATTTGGTGTTGTGTGAAGCATTTGAGGCATCACACTTGGGGTGCTAGGCTCACAAGGTTTCAAGGGACACAAACAACAACAAGGTAAGTTATTCTATCTATACTTTATGTTAAAATTGTTCCCCATGTATGCTAGATAGGAATATAACCTTGGAATTCAAGTTTGCATGATAATTAGACAAACATAGATCCAAGGTTATTAGGGTTGCATGTACACTTAGGAAGTGTTAGAATGCTCAAAACCCATCAAGTAAGTAGTTTCCCAATTTGAATAAGCCATGTTATACTGATAATGAGCTCTGTCAATTATGTGAACTTGCTAAGTGTATGTGAAAAAAAATTATATACGCTTAGGAGTCGCAACCTCAGAATGGGTGATTTACCCTATATGCTTTTCCTTGTTTAGATGTGGTCTTAGGGTAGAATCTATTATTCAAAATTCTATTCGATCCTTTCTATGTATAATTTGCATGCCTAGTAGCAACCTGCAGTGATTGGTATGATTGTTGTGAGTAGGACGATCATCGGGTGTTCAGGGAATGATTCATGCGAGAGCTGTGAGTCGTAGTTTTATGGATACAATAGATTGGAAGTACTGGGTAAAGCAAGGGGAAAGGTACATGTAGGTGTGGAAGGTAGTACTGGGCCTATACTATTGGAAGCATAGGACTCGTACCCGAACCCATGTTCTACCTGGGAAATCCAAAGAAGCATAGTGTGGATGCAATCTTGATATGGGTATCCTGATCTTTATGTTTTTTTTATGATAGTTAAGCATGGTGTTTACACGATTTGGAGCAGGGGGATCAGGATCGGGATCAGGATTGGGATCGGGGTCGGGATCCGTGGCTGGGTTAGGTGGCCCTACAAATGGTATTGACGAGAGGCTGCGTGATTTGATTGCGGCCGAGGTTACGAGGGGCATCCTTGACGCTACCCCAATCATCTTTGGGACGGTCAAGGAGGGCATGATGGAGATCATGGAGGAGAGACTTAAAGCATTCAGGGCTGATATTTCTGCGGGCCAGGGTGGAGCTCGAACTTCCTCGTTTATGGAGTTCAAGGCGTGTGGAGCTCCGGAGTTTTTAGGGGTCAGGGATCAAATTGTAAGAAGACGTTGGGTGGCAGAAATTGAAAATGCTCAGCGTACGAGTTCTTGCCCGGAGGAGGCAAAGGTCGGATTTGCTTCCTGTATGCTAAAGGACAGGACCCTAGATTGGTGGGGCGAGGATACAAAAGAGTGTTTATCTTTCAACCACAGAAGTAGAATACATAGCACTTGCAGAAGCTGGCAGAGAGAGAGAGAGAGAGAGAGAGAGAGAGAGAGAGAGAGAGAGAGAGAGAGAGAGAGAGAGAGAGAGAGAGAGAGAGAGAGAGAGAGAGAAAGAGAGGGAGAGAGAAAGAAAGAAAGAGGGGGGAGGAAGGGAGGGAGTACTTTGAGGAATGGATAAATTTGAATGTAAAATGAATTTCTTCAAGCCTTTAAGTGAGAGATTATTAGGGTATGAAGTCTTGTCCAACATGGAGCACTTCGATAAAAATGGAGAACATGGGGTTCATGGAGTATGTGATAAAAGAATGGATCATCTGATAAAGGAATTGATCATCTGAAAAAGGAACAGATCATTTAGAAGGAGGTTTGGAGCACCTGGAAGAGGTTTGGAGCACTTAGGAGTGATATGGAGCAACAAGGGGACCTTGTTGCACCATCTGTTGAAGGGTTGGGCCAAGAAGGATATTGTTGTTCCAAATCTATTCCCTCTTGTGCTATAGGGTATCTCTCTTGCGCCATGAGGTACTCTTGTTGCACCATGGAGTATGTTGTTGTGACAAACATGGCCTTGTTGCTCCATGCATGATGTTGTTGTACCACGATGGTGAGGTAGCTCCAACATACAAGTTCTTGTACAACACTTGAAGCCACTTGCACGATCCATATTCTTGTTACGCCGTGATGGCGCAAAATAGACCATCTTGGTCCTTGATGAACCAAGTATGCTATGAAGTCCTTTATGATGCTCAAGATGGAAGAATGTTCCAAAAGATGCTGCATGTCAGAATATGATTGGTTGTCACCATTCATGGGCCTATGAGTCAATGGGCTTGGCCCATTATGATTTTAGGTTTGATTCCTCAAGTATAAATAGGTTCATACCGCTATCATTGTAAATGCCTAGATTTCTGTGAGAGGTCAAAGTGAGATACAATTTTGAGTGCTTGTAATAGTTCCAGAAAGTTAATAAAATCATCTCTCTCTCTCTCTCTCTCTCTCTCTCTCTCTCTCTCTCCTGTGGATGTAGGTCACCTTGACAGATCCACATTAAATATTGTGTTTTTTTTATTTACATTTTTCAGAAGTTTTTGTGACTTCACCGAAGTTTGTTTTTTGATATTTATCTGAAGTGATTAACTTGTTTTGTTGTCACCCAACAAAAAGAATTTGACAAATTTGCACACTAATTGAGAGTCATATATAGACTAACAAAGAATCAGAGAAATATAAATATTATCAAACGAGATGGGGGATTTTATCCTTCTTAGTAACGGTCTTACTCTATAAAATGACTTTTTGAATAAGCTATTAAGATTTGAAATCAACGACGAGGTCCGGAAAGTGAATCAAAGATGAGTCGTTTAGGGTAGTTGTGTAAGAGGAAGACATATAGAGCAACAAAAAATTCAAAAATTTAAGGAATTAGCTTTGAGAGATACAAATAGGGTTTTTTTAAATATATATCTTGCAAAGTAGTCGTGCATAGGCAACACCGATTGGCATGGACGTGATCGTCAGCATACACTCTTCTGTTAGCAATGAATTCTATTATACGTTTCTTCTTTATTCAGCCTCACCCGAACCATTTTTAAAACCACCAAACCATACTGAATGAGTTCTACTAAAAAGGCTTTGGTATCTACCAACAGTTACCAAAAGAATGGTCTCGTGAATTTACACTTATACAATTCGAATTTTTGTTTGCTATGTTGTTCTAGGTTACTTCTCCTCTCTTCATACATGATTTAGAAATTAACGAAATTAGAACCAAATATATAAAAACTATATACCAACTAAAAACTATGCCCCCAAAATTTGTGGGTTAAATAAAAATCCAATTCCAATAATACCAGTCAAGATCGAGATCTTATATATGATCGCTTTATCTTTGCAAGATTGTGACCGCAAGATTAAAATTGGATTGTAAAATACTATCAAAAACATTTTATAACATAAGAACAAATATTTTTGTCTACATGTTAACATTCAGTTAGCAATAAATAGTTTAGAATATAAAAAACACATATTTCATAAATCTTTTAACAATAAACAATTAATAAGGGATATTCTATATAGTTACTCTAAAAAATATTATTTTAATATATATATATATATATATATATATATATATATATATATATATATATATATATATATATATATATATATATATATATATATATATATATATATATAATCTTACCGGAAAACGATCATAATCGTGATTGATTTACTTGGGTGTGACCAATCTTACAATCGTGATTTTAACAAGGCCAATAGATAATTAAACATACTGACTTGGAATGGTCAATTAAGTCCATCATTTTGAAAAAGAGAGTATATATAATATATTTCTGAATCACAGGAATGAGTCTTAATAATACTATAAAAGGTGCCACACGCGGGAACAAATTGGCTCCAGCCAATAGATACTACCAAAAAAATACGAAAAAAGACATGAATATGATAAATATCATAATTCATGAGACCATAACAAAGACATCACATCATTGTCAACAACATAATTAAGAGGAGGCAATCCTTGCAACCTAGAATTTTGGTGGTGCAAGTTTTCGTGCTCCATAGTACGGAGGAGGAGGATATGTTGACAGGGGGAGTACATTGATGAAAAGTTTCAGTCCCTTCAAACAGTGTTTTCCGACACCACAAACATACCATTTCCTTCCAGGGGTATCGAGGGTGATCACATCGTATCCACTTGTGAGAGCTTTAGTAGCAGCCGGAATAGTACATTGCTGGAAGGAAGTTCCATTTACTCTAAACACATTATGCTTTCCCACAGTGTATCTGAAGACTATATCAATTATATTTAACCAGTTAGCTATCATAGCCTTTGAGAACATAAAACGGTTTTAATTTTTGCACTGGTTTATAAGAAAATATACCAAGTTTATCCCCGACAAAGAATTGCTTTCCCTTGGCCCATGCTTGGTAATCAAAGTTCAAGGTCCATCCTTTATCGTCACCAACCACAAACACCTTGCTTGATGGAACAGGAGAGACCCAAGGAGCTGGGGGTGGTGTTGATTGAGGGAGAACAGTGATGAAAAGCTTCATACCACCTTGCTCACAATGTTTTCCAACTCCACAAATATACCATTTTCTGCCAGGTGTTTGAAGGGTTATGACGTCGTATCCAGTAGTGAGAGCTTCGTTAACAGGAGGAATCATACACTGTTGGAAAACTGTTCCATTGACTCTGAAGACATTGTGTTTTCCAGCAGCATAGTTGAAAACTACATCCAGAATAAAGATAGGATTTAGATACTATATCACATGTATATATATCATCATACACAAACCTAAACGATTAACGTAATGCTCATAGTACAATTAAGGGGCGCTTACTCAGTTTATCACCAACGACGAACTTCTTGCCATAAGCCCAAGCTTGATAATCGAAGTTGAGGGTCCAACCTTTATCATCACCAACAATGAAATCCTTGGCAGTAACTGAAGAAGCTATTGCAGCAACCATTAATGCTACAAATAAAATGATGCTCGACCTGTTTGTAGCCATCTTTGATCACTTAAGTACAATATGCTTCAAGTTATTTGCGTCTATATGATATGTAATTTAGATGAAGTGGCTATTTATAGAACGAATTCCAAAGGCATTGAACAATAAGTTTAATTTGTACGGCATGGCATCAAATATATATGTTTGTTGGACCAAGTCTTGAACTGAGGGTCTACATGTTAAAAAGATCGTTGCCGTCTGTTTACTGTTCAGATCCTCCATTATTTTCTTTTTGTTTATGACAAAACTAATTCCTTGTTAAAATATGAAAAAGACGAAGCATGCATGGGATTTCTCTATGCGTCAGGAGAATGGAAGAACATATTATTGTGCTTAATGACTTGTTCAAATCTATGATTGCTAATGATGACTTGTTCAAATCTAAGATTCCACATCCCTCATATCCGTTGGATTCTGCTATTTATGTATGGCTCCTCTCGATTATATATTTAATTTCTCGTGACAAGACAAATAAAAAATAAAAAATAGGGTATATTACAGGAATGGGCCCTCTTGTTTGTAGTAATCTATATGTTTTGTTTATATATATATTTTTTAACTCGGACCAATTTAATGTATTGGGTTGTTACAATTTCCGTCACAACTACCGGAAAATACTAGTTTTTGGTACTGCTGCTAAATATTATTTGGTATTTTATTTAGTTTTATATTTGTTTGTTTTCTTTTAGAGAGACCAACAATCTTACCTCACCATTTTTCTACTAGATTCATTTTAAAGATGTGGTCACACCCCATCCTAGTCACCTCAGCCAACCATCATCAATCACTTTGAGCACCAAAAAAAAAAAAAAAAACTAAAATCAAAATAAAACCTGAAAGCTGTAATCAAACACAAAACTAATAAAAGTAAAATCTAACTTGATCAAAATTAAAACGAATTAAGCCTGATGAAAATCAAAATCAAATCCGATGTAAACAAAAACTGAACGTAATGATACTCAAAACTATACCTTATGCCAATCACACTTAAACATATGGTGAAATAAAATCAAACCTAGTGAAATCAAAACCAATACTAACACTACAACGATTGTACACTATAGAGATGATAATTTTGAGCTTTGTCCAGACGACTTGTCGTCGCTAAAGCCTCTATCGACGACGATGGGATGAGGACCAACAGAGGGCTTTCAAGACCCTGAGGTGGAGGTTATGTGAGGCTCCGGTTCTAGTTCTGCCCGAGGGGTTGGATGAGTTAGTAGTGTGTTATGATGCATCTATTTCAGGGTTGGGTGCGGTTCTGATGCAGAGGGGGCACGTGATCGCTTATGCCTCGAGACAGTTGAAGCCTCACGAGGCTAATTACCCCACTCATGATCTGGAATTGGGGGCAGTGGTGTTTGCCCTCAAGATCTGGAGGCATTACTTGTATGGTGTGAAATTCATTGTGTATACAAGTCACAAGAGCTTGAAGTATTTGATGGACCAGCAGAACTGGAATATGCGACAGAGGAGTTGGTTGGACGTGCTTAAAGATTATGACTGCGAGATACTATATCATCCAGGGAAGGCCAATGTAGTGGCCGATGCGTTGAGTCGCAAGGCGTTGGGGTCGCAAATCAGAGGTATCTATATGAGGGTGACGGTAAGTCCCCCCTTGATTGACATGATTCGAGGGGCTCATGTCGAGCGGGTGAGGAAAGAGAACTGGAAAATGGAAAGGATTCGGGGTAGTATCCTTTGTTTATTAAGGATAGTCGCGGCTTGTTGACGCAGTGTGGCCAAGTGTGGGTACCGATGTTAGGGGGAGTGAGGCAGAGATTGTTGGAGGAGGTGCATAAGTCCAGATTTTCTATACACCTAGGTGCAACAAAAATGTATAGGGATTTGAGGTAGGGCTATTGGTGGCTCTGCATGAAGCGAGAAATCACTGGGTATGTGGAGCGGTGTTTGACCTGTAGGAAGGTCAAGGCCGAGCACCAACGATCTCATGGCAAGGTTCAGCCATTACCCATTCCCATGTGGAAGTGGGAAAAGATCACTATGGATTTCGTCACGAAGCTACCATGGACAGCGAGGGGGAGTAGATGCCATATGGGTGATCGTGGATAGACTGATGAAGAGTGCCCACTTCATCCCGATCTCCGAGAGTATATCTGCAGAAAAGTTGGCGGACGTTTATGTTTATGAAGTGGTGGCTAGGGACGGGATGCCGGTATCAATGGTTTCAAATAGGGATGTTCGGTTTACATCCAGGTTTTGGAAGAAGTTCCATGAGGAAATGGGTACCCAGCTGCATTTTAGCACGTCATATCACCCCCCAGACCGACGGCCAGAGTGAGAGGACGATCCAAACACTGGAGGACATGCTGCGGGCATGCGTGCTGGACTTCGGAGGAAGTTGGGATGCGTATCTTCCACTGGTAGAGTTTTGTTATAATAACAGCCATCATGCCACTATTGACCGAACACCATTTGAGATGTTATATGGGCTGAGGTGCAGGACCCCAGTGTGTTGGGACGAGGTTGGGCATCGGGTTTTGGGGAGCACGGAGGTGGTACTCGAGACCACCAGATTGATTCAGCAGGTACGCGACCAATTGTGAGTCTTGTAGAGCCGTGAGAAGAGATATGCGGATCGACAACGATCATACCTCGAATTTCAGAAAGGGGACTTTGTTCTACTAAAGGTTTCGCCATGGAAAGGGATTATTCGGTTCCGCAAGAGGGGAAAATTGGCGCCCCAGTTCATAGGTTCGTTCAGGATCTTAGCCTGGGTGGGCAAGGTGGCATATCGATTAGAGCTTCCAGAGGAGCTTAGTCGGATTCACAACACATTCCATGTATCCCAGCTTCGGAAGTGTGTTGCCGACGAGTCCTCAGTCATACCCTTGGACGACATTCAGTTGGATGGGAGCCTGAATTACGTCGAAAGACCAATTACGATTTTGGACAGCTTGACAAAGAAGCTCCGGAATAAAGAAGTGAAGTTGGTTAAGGTGCAATGGCAGCACCGAAGGGGTTCCGAATGGACCTGGGAATCGGAAGACGAAATGCGAGGTTTCTACCCGGAGTTATTTGAACCAACGGGCTTTGAGGATGAAGCCTAATCCAAGTGGGGGAGAGTTGAAACACGCTGATCCTCAGATACTAATATTAGTATTGCCTCGTTCAAGTTTTGAAGGATCTACTCGACGAATTGGCTTCCCTACTCGTCGAGTAGTAGCGAGTTAGTTCGCGAAGTTTAATGATCTACTCGCTGAGTCCACGAAGGCACTCGACGAGTAGCTCTTGATAGATGAAACCCTAAGTACGGGGCCATGCACCCTATTTAAAGGGGCCATTAGCCTCCCCTAACTTTCCTTTTACAACTCCTCATTTTCCAAAAACCCTGATTCGTGTGTGTGTGTGTGTATGTGTGATCTTTAGTGGGTAGATGTGATAGATATTTTGTGTTTGTTATGATATGTGATTGCATGTTGTATGAAGACCCCGGGGGAAGCCCGTGGTATTGGATGTAAGACCATGAGGGGTAGCCCATGACAGTCCTAGGTGAAGACCATGTGGGGTAGCCCATGGCATTGGATGTAAGACCATGCGGGGGAGCCCATGGCAGTCCTAGGTAAAGACCATGCGGGGTAGCCCATGGCATTATTACAGATTTTATGTATGCATGGCTTATGTGTTATGTGTGTAGCTTTTATGGCTATCGGGATATGTGTTGTGTAAATTGTGTGTGGTATGCTCTGGGGAACTCACTAAGCATTTCTCTTACATGTTATTGATTGTTGCAGGTACTTCGGAGCCTAAGGGTAAGGGCAAGGCATGATGATGTGGCGCGTACTCTACCTCTCTTTTGGATGTTTTGGGACTCTCTGATGTTTTCAGAAAAAGACAATAATTATGTAATGAATGTGATTTGGAAATAAATGTTTTGAAAACCTATAGAATGTGTAATCGGTTTGATTAATTAAAACAAAAAATTTTCTTTGTAAAATTTGGGTTGTTACAGTTGATGATATGTTGATTGTTGGATTCGACATGCAGGTGATTAACAAGCTAAAAAAGCATCTAGCAAGAGAGTTCGAGATGAAGGACTTAGGGGTTGCTAAACAAATATTGGGCATGAGCATAGCCATGGACAGAGTTACCGGTATACTAAAACTTTCACATGCCAAGTACATCAAGAAAATCTTATAAAAGTTCAACATAGCAAATGTGAAAGCCAGAAGTGCACCTTTGAGGAGTCAGTTGAGACTTACCAAGATGCAATCCCCAAAAACAGAAGAATACATAGAATACATTTGTAATAGCTCAAATTTTCAAATAAATTTTTCATTTAAAATAAAACATCATTATTCGACAAAAGAGTTTATTCCAAGTTTATTGCAAAAGTATAAATAATAAGTCCTCAAGATCTTCAGCAATGGCAGTGTGTACGTGTCACGCCGGCGCCTTCCCACGGTCATCGCTAGTACCTGAAAAACATAAACACAACTAGTAAGCATAAATGCTTAGTGAGTTCCCCAGTATACGACTTACCCACATACGCCTTCCGGCCCGGACCTTTCGGTCCACATAACATTGCCTTCCGGCCCGTAACAAAAATCGCCTTCCGGCCCATAACATATCGCCTTCCGGCCCGTATTACATTGCCTTCCGGCCCATAGTATTTTGCCTTTTCGGCCCATAATAGTATAAAACATAACACATATAACATATCACACATAACACATAAGTCATACATCATACCGTTCTTCCTATCACAAAAGTCACGCAGTCAAACCCTTACGGGTGAAGTATAGTGAGAAGACTCACCTCGTAGTATGCAAGCTATAAACCCTTCGAGCTACTCGCACTCGATCCACTAATCTGCAGGCTCCCTATAATACCACATACCTTTATTAATGATCTTATCAAACAAGACAACTGACCCTACTAAATTACATACAGGTCAACGGTCAACTTGACCGGACTCGTCGAGTGCAAAGGCAACTCGGCGAGTCTAGACACCCCGACCCCACTCGCCGAGTCTAAAGAACGACTCGACGAGTTCCAGTAGGTCTTCAAGCTAC